CAATATTTAACTCTCGCGAATGCTTCCTGCAAAAAATAATGCATTTGTTTAGCAAGTTACATAATTTCCAATGGCAGGCAGCGTGCGTTGAGGCTGGCCTAAAATTTATTTAGTCTTGCAATTTACACTGCGGCGACAGATTTATTATACAAGAGAGCATAGTTTTGGTTATGTGTTTTTTGTGGTTTTGCTTTTAATTTCTTGCTCCTTTACACAATTTTTGTTGCACATCTGCTAGGCCATCAGATCGAGTGTAAACTAATGGCCACCATGACCAAAATTGTAAAAACAGCTTGAATAGTCATTTCAACACTTGCTATTTATTATCTTCGAATTGCTATTAACCCTTTTTCGTATGGCATAATTTCGATTTTGACAGATGAGTTGACAGCTAAAATGGCAATGGGAGTTTGGCATTTTTTTTTTTTTTTGGTTTCACTTATGACAACGATAATGTGTTTTATTGCGAGGCAATTTTGCAAAAACCATTAATGAAGCATTATTGCTACGCACCCATTTGCCGATCCAAGTATTTTATTTTAGCACGCTATAACAGCTGCTGACTGATCTCGACAAAGCCGGCTTTGGCCATGATCATTTATTTGACGCGTGTGTCTGAGTTTTGACTTGATATGTTTTGGTGTGCAAAAGCGGTTTTGTGACGTGCCCGCCCTCAGTATGCATTCGTAGTTTGCCAATAGTTTTTGAGCAGTTTGTTACCTATACATACTCATAAAATTTAACCGAGGCGTCAATAGGCAAATGATTTAAGAATCGGTTGTTGCCAAAGAAGTGAATGTGTAGCCACTTATACATATGTACATAGCTATGTATGTATAAAGTTCTGTGCGGGTGGTTGAGTCACTTAAATAACAATGCCAAAATCTCAATCAATCTTGATTCTTAATTAAGTGCGGACATTTTAAAGTTATGTATTTTTTAATGCTTAATTTGCTTTTGTGTGATAACCTTCAGTGCTAAGACTATTTTCCCTAATTTGGCATTGTCGCGGATTAGTGTCAATCTACCTTCCTAGTTTTGCAAAATTTTGTTCTTTTTTTTTGAGACTTATGGTAAAAACCTCACTAAGCAGGCATTGAAATACCAGTCTATAAATTTTAAATTCATTATATTGTGAAACGAATTCAGAGCTCTAAATAAGTCTTTATTTGTGTATGTATGTATGTATGTATATTATAAGGCCAGCTAAATCATGTAATTTTTCTCAATTACACATCAGCTGTACAGTGGCGACATTATAAATAGGAAAGAAACATTTAAGCATTCTTTGAATATTTTCCCTTCGTTTATATAATGTGTAGCTCGTAATATAAAAAAACCATCTCAGTCAAATTTTCTAACTCTGTTTAAAAATTTGAAAAATTCGACGACCAAGTTTCATCAAAATTTTGGGCTTTTTAGAAACATTCTGAGAATGTAGTCTCGTAATCCATTTTAGTAGGTAGTACTTAGCGTTGATTTTTGGCAGTTTTTTTGTGGAAGGTGTTGCTGATTTTCGCCATAAAAAAAAATTGTCGAACATACTTTGTACGGAAGAAAATTCTTGAACAAAATATGGTCAAAAATCAACGGCAAGTCCTAGCTACTTCAAACTAGCACTTTATTATTCGAAAATAAAATAAAAAGCTTTTTGATATACATACATACATACCACGCTCCTATAAATAGACTAAAAAGTAGAAAATAAAATTTCTCAGTCCCATAGAATTTGTTTCGATAATTTTTGCTTTTGAAATTTTAGCAAAAGTCATCTTGAACAATTTATGCGATTGAAAATGAATAACGTGGAGCGCATGCAATACAAACCATTGCACTCAATAGTCAAACTAAATAACATAGACCTAAATTTCTACAGCGTACGTACAAATTTGAAATCGATTTTAAGCAATCGATTTTCGATCGATGTACATACATACATGTATTACTTTTCATATCAATTCAAGTCTATTAAAAGCGTGGGTTTATGCTCATAATGACTTTTGCTAAAATTTCAAAATCAAAAGTTATCAAAACAAATTCTACGGGACTTAGAAACATTATTTTCTACTTTTAAGTCCATTTATAGAAGCGTTGTGTATTAAAAAGTTTTTTTATTTTTATTTATTTTCTACTTTTTAGTCTTGTCTGTATAAAACTTTGCAATAGATCTTAAAATAATTCTGCGATATTCTGGTATCAATTGTATTTTATCAAACTGACTTTTTATTTATATTCTCTTTCAACATACATACATACATGTACATGTATACAGGGTGTCCCAGAAGTAATCTACCAAACTTGAGGAGAAGGCAGTTGGGGTGGTGAGCTCCCTGATAAGCAAACATTTTTAGGTAAAAGTGTCACCGTTTTTGAAGTATTTAAATTTTTTTGAATAAAAAAAATCGTGCCTTTTCATGTATTTTCTTTAACTGCATCTACAAACCATACTGCATCTACTCTCCATACTCAAATGCAATGTAGTTAAAATATATTATGGAACCAATATAAAATTAGGACTATATTGGGATTTTTAACTTTTTGATATTTTCTTCCCCAACTTTGACTATCTCTGGTGAAAACAAAATGTATGAGTTATAATTTTACATTACATAAAAAAATTGCTAATTTAATAAATATTTCAGAAAGGTGCCACACTTACTGTTTCGAATAGAAAAAAAGTTATAGCCGCTTTTGTGAGTAAAGGACTGAGACACGCTTGAATGTATTTAATAGATTTAAATTTAAGTTGCTCTTGTTACCGACCAATGACGTGCTAAATAACAGAGGTACATTATTACTTGATCCTGACATTATTTTGTGTTACTTACCGGAAATAAAGAAAGTGGATTTTGTGAAATTGGACCCTTCAAACATTGTGTCATTAATACTATGACAGAGAACACACTGAACACGTGAGAACACGTGAAGCTTGCGGTAATGCTAGAGCTGATCAAAGACTCTATGCAGAGCGATACCCAAATCGTCGGCATCCGGCTCGTGAAGTATTCGCCCGCACCCATAGAGAAATATCTGAAGGTAAGTACTTTTTACACCTTTCTTGTTTGAAGCCATTCTTCTTTTAACTATCATTTTTAACTTTTTTAAGGTCGCATACCTGGAAGGCATGGCGGCGAGACAGGACGTCCTGCAACGGTAGATGTCAAAGTTTTGTTAGAGGAAGTGGAACTAGGTCCATCGACTTCAGGGAGAATGATGGAAAGACGGACTGGAATACCAAAAACTACAGTTCACAAAGCTTTAAAATACCATCCCTACCTACATTCAACGTGTTCAGGCTCTACAAGAGAGAGATTACCTGTTGAGGATTAAATTTTGCAGTGAAATGTTGCGAATGCATGAATCAGACCCCAACTTTTTTAATAATATAATTTGGAGCGATGAATCATTATGCAAACGTGATGGTTATTTTAATTTACATAACCTTCACAGTTGGCAGATAGACAATCCTCACGAAATGAGAGAAGATCGTTCGCAGTACCGGTACAAAATAAATGTATGGTGCGGTATTTTTAATTGTCAGATATTGGTCGCCAATTTGAGCATATTTTATCAATAAATGAGTAAATTTTCCTTCAAACAACTCATGTATATTTTATTTCACGTGAACCCATCCTTCACAAAGAATATTGATAGATATAGCC